TGAAGCAACTGCGGGCTAAAGGATGGATTCTGAAGCAACTGCAGGCTGAAGGATGGATTCTGAAGCAACTGCGGGGCTGGAAATGGCTTTTTTCATGTATTGATGTGGTGCGTATTGTTAGAGGGGGCTGGGGCACATATAGGTGGTAATTAAGCATTGAGTTAAGACATGGTGAAGGTGGCCCCAGGTGGAGAACAGTTAGTGAGGATCGGAATAGCATAGGGATGTAGACATAGGGTTAATAGCATTTAGGGATAATAGGCTAGGCGTGGCCAGGCCTAGAACTGCATATAGGCCTGGGTGTGGTGCGGATGTGTCTCATGATAATGATAATAAAAGGAAAGAGAGCAAACTCCAACCCAACGCTAACCTTGGCTGGCTTTTAGCCATTCTTGCCTGCTTAGAGTATTTGTTGTTTGCTGATATATTGAATAAACCGTCATTGTCCTAAAGAGGAGCTGGAGTTTGGATTCATTGAAAAACAAATTTTCAATACTCAAGGACTGGCTGAGACAAATTCTCCAATTGAGCACCTTCACAGGCTGGGTGTCATCATTCATGTTTTCCAATTAAATATATTCGCGGGCAGAAGCTCCGGTAGTTTAGTTAACAGTCTTTTAAAGCTAAGATTTGGAATGTACTTTTGCTTCCAATCGGCTTCACTGCTTTTCCAGATTTCCTCCCCCCACCCCTATTTTTTTTAATGGCAACTCCTAAAACAGGTCTAGGAATGTTTTATGAGTTGACACGTACGAACGGTTGCAGGAACTGGATACGTCTAGTCCAGCAGTCAGCAACCTTAGACACTCAAAGAGCCACAAAGGTCTTAACCCGGAAGCCCCACCCACCCACCCATTCAATTCTGGAGCTAACCAGAAGTCCAGTTGCCCCACCCTAGGGTCTCCTCCCAGCATGGCACCCTTTTCCCTCCACCTGTCCTAACCAAAAGCCCTCTCAATTGTGGTGCCGACCGGCGACAGGGAGCTGCAGCAGTGGGACGAAAGAGCCAAATGCAGCTCTAGAGCCACGGGTTGCCGACGCCTGGTGTAGTTTAATGAAGAGAAGGATTAGGGGTGATACGATAGCAGTTTTCCAATATGTGTGGGGCTGTCACAGAGATTAGGAAGTCAACCTATTCCCCAAAGCACCTGAGGGCAGGACAAGAAGCAACAGATGGAAGCTTATCAAAGAGAGATCCAACCTAGAATTAAGGAGAAATTCCCTGACAGGGAGAACTTTTCATCAATCGAACGGCTACTTACCGGAGTGCTGTTTGTAGCACACGCACGAAAGGACAGCCAGCAAGAAGAAGAAGGAGGCCACTGGGATGATGATTAAGAGAAGCTCCCTGAGACTGTGTGCGGTCTTCTTCTCACCTTCTGGAGAACATAGAATAACAAGAGTTGGAAGGGACCTTGGAGGTCTTCTAGTCCAGCCCCCTGCTCAAGCAGGAGACCCTATCCCATTTCAGACAAATGGTTGTCCAATCTCTTCTTAAAAACCTCCAGGGACGGAGCATTCACAACTTCTGGTGGCAAGCTGTTCCACTGGTTTATTGTCCTCACTGTTAGAACGTATCTCCTTAATTCCAGCTCACTTCTCTCCTTGATTAGTTTCCATCCATTGCTTCTTGTCCTGCCTTCGGGTGCTTTGGAAAATAGGTTGACCCCCCTCTTCTTTGGGGCAGCCCATCAAATATTAGAAGACTGCGATCATGTCTCCCCTGGCCCTTCTTTTTATTATTATTTATTATTAATTCCAGCAACCGTTTTTTGTATGTTTTAGCCTCCAATCCTCCCCTAATCCTCTTTCTTGCTCTTCTCTGCACTCTTTCCAGAGTCTCAACATCATTTTCATTATTGTGGTGACCAAAATTGGATGTAGTATTCCAAGGTTCTTCTGCTTGAGCAGGGGGCTGGACTAGAAGACCTCCAAGGTCCCTTCCAACACTATTATTTTATGTTCTAATTTCCTGAATTAGAACAGCTTGCCTTCAGATGTTGTGGGTGCTCCATCAGTGGAGGTTTTTTAAGAAAAGCCTAGACAGCCACTTAACTGAGCAAGGGGCTGGACTAGAAGACCTTGAAGGTCCCTTCCAGCTCTATTCTGACTGATTGAATTCTAACCTTCAAATTGGTCACATACCTGAAGGTTGTTGGCAGGAGTCACGGAGCTCGACGGTCGCCGATTTGTGGACGACGGCGTTAGAGGCCGTACAGGTGTAGGTCACCTGGAGAGCTTCCTTGGGGTCCAGTTTGGTCCGTAGCACCTGGCCCCCCTCCATCAGCCAATGCTTCGGCCTAGGGCCGGTCTTACCCGCCAGCCCTGCCCACTCGTAAGTGACGTTAGTCCTGCTGGCTGCGTGGCAAGTCAAGAAAACGAGACAAGTTTCGGAGGAGCCATTGAGGTCCTTTTCTTCGGTGAACACCTGAATAAGTGGGTTTGAAATCGTATCTGGAAGAAGAGAGAGGCAAAAAATCAGGGGAGGGGGCAATGTGGGGAAGGGGTAATAATATTTTATTCCCTTCACTGGCTCTCATGTCTCGGGTAGGCTTGTCCTAAAAATAGAATAGAATAGAATAGAATAGAATAGAATAGAATAGAATAGAATAGAATGGAATAGAATGGAATGGAATGGAATGGAATGGAATGGAATAGAATGGAATAGAATAGAATAGAATAGAATAGAATAGAATAATAGAATAGAATAATAGAATAGAATAATAGAATAGAACAGAACACAACACAACGCAACGCAAATACAATGCAATATACAACTCAAATACAATGCATTATACAATACAATACAGATAACGTATAATAGATAACAGATAATCAGAGTTGGAAGGGACCTTGTAGGTCATTT